TTTTTTCTCAAAAATAACTGCACGCCAGCTCTAGAATGAGAAAGAATTCATAACATCTTTATTGATAAACCATTTACTAAAAGTCTACAGTATACAGAATACTATGTTAGGCAATTAGGCAACACAGCATTATTTCTAGGGCCCTAGAGGGCTGACAACCTAGTAGACAAAGCATATATATGTAAGATTAAAATAACAACAAAAACAAGCATATGGCATACATTGAATATGTTTTTAAAATCAGGGTAAGGCAGTCTAAGACTCTGCAAAGTAGAAACCTATATAAACAAAGGCAAAGAAGCAGAAACACATGCAGTATGTTCATGGATGTGGGATTCAACCAGGGCGAAACCAGAAGTCCTTCAGGAAACAAGTACTTAGAGCCAAGGTTAGAAAAAGGAGCAATGGGGACCTGAAAACCAGGATAAAGGTTAGCCTTCACCCACCCAATAGTAAGAATCTTTAAGAATACTTGAGCAAAATGACAGACAAAAGGATAAGATTAAATGCATGACATAATGATTTAGAAAGCTAGCTATGGCCAAGGACACATGGTGATGTAGAAGTAAAATAATTTAGAAAGCTGGGCACGGGGGCGCATACCTTTAATCCCAGCATTTGGGAGGCTGTAGCAGGTGGATCTCTGTGAGTTTGAGGCCAGCCTGGTCTACATAGTGAGCTGCTGTCTCAAAAGAAAACAAATAGTGACAAAAAAATCAGTTAAGATTATTACAAAAAGTATGTTCTTTTATTTCATACCATTTGTTAATAATCGAACTTTGGGAACGAAAGCTTGTTATCCTACATAGGAGTATTAAAAGAACTATTCTGTTCTACCGACCTACGGCAGCCAAAAACAGGGTACCAAAGGACCTACAGAGGGTAAATCACACTTCACTGAAGGGAAGGAGTTGGATCCTCTAGAATTCATACCCAGCACTTCCTCCATCTGCTGCAGGGTCTTCTCCATCTCGTCCTGCACATCCTGTCGCTTCCGCCCAGCATCCTTAACACTATGTGTCTCAAAATAGCAGTCTCGAAATGAGTAGAGTTGATCCACCAGCTCCTAGAAAACACACAGTCTCGTTAAATAGAGACAGGAAACATAGAATTACCTGCCCAGCCCTTGGCCTATTAATACTGGTTCTCTTATCTCACCTAAGGAATGACACAATGGGCAGATTAACAAGTCTAATAAATACCACAGATCAGGAGGAAATCAACCCTTCCTACGGTCCCAGGTTGTCCCATGCCAGTCTCTGTAGTACTACAAGTCTCTCTCCCAGCTCCAGCATGATTTCTAATATGACTTAACACTTCCTATACCATAGTCAGGAAGAAACACTGATCATTCTATCTGGTTATGGTTCCCCAAAGAACAAAATTTTGAAATCTGCCCTTAAAACTACACTTTGGAGCCAGTGAGATGGCTCAGTGTGTAAAGGCGCTTACTACCAAGTGTGAAGACCTGAGTTGGATTTCTGGAGCCCATATGGTGTGAGAGGAAGTCAGCTCCTTCGAATTGTCCTCTGACCTCCAAATATGTGCCGTAGCATGCACTCCAATAAACAAAAAATAAAAGGTTACCCAAAAATTTGTATTTATTTTTATTTAATGTGTTTTGCCTACATGTATGTAAGTACAACATGCATACAATGCCCACAGAGGCCAGAAGACAGCATCAGATCTCCTAGAACCAGATTTCTTGACAGTTGTTAGCTGTCATATGGGAGTTGGGAACTGAACCAAGGTCCTCTGCAAGAACAGCAAGTGCTCTTAACAGCTAAGTCACCTCTCCAGTTCCCAACCAATTATCTCACTTATCTGACATCCATAAGACCAAGTCTCATCCCCAGCACAACAAAAAAGGAAAACAAAACACCTCCAAAAATAAAATTATACTTCCTGGGAAAAAAAATCACTATTTTTGTTGTTGTTTGTTGTTTTGAGACAGGGTCTATGTAGCCCTGAATGGCCTAGAACTCGCTATGTAGACCAGGCTGGCCTTGAACTCACAGAGATCCACCTGCCTCTGCATCCCAAGTGCTGAGATTAAAGGCATGCACCACCAGACCCAGGAAAAAAAAGATTTGTCCTTGATCTTTCACACATGGAAACGCAGGGGCTTTCTGAAAAACGACAGACCTGTGAGCAAGAAGACGTTGTTTCCACCAACAACAAATCAACTTGAACTTGGTGGCCTTGGTATTTTCACAGGTTTTGTTTCTTTGTATTTTAGATTTTAGATTTTGGGTTTGGGGTGGGGTTTTTTTGCTTTGTTACCTTGTTTGTTTAGGACATCTTCTGGCTCCAGTCCCAACAAGTGGTGTCAACTATTTGCACTGAACACCCTCCACTCATCCACCTGCCTCCATCTACTACCACCAATGTAGACTAACCCAGCAGCATCACTTGTCTCAACTCTCGTTAACAACTCAACTGGTCAACTTGCTTCTACTCTCTCACATCCTCTTCACTGTAGTCAGTGTCCTGATAAAAAACACACATCATATCACAAACTCTCAAGTAATTTATCACTGCAGAGAGAATAAAATCTACCTCCTCTCCATGGCTACAACACAATGATCCCACGACCTGCCCCACCACAAACTCTACTTCTTACCATCTTTTTTCCCATAATACTCAAGCCACACTGAGGGGGTCCTCCAACTTTGAGGTTCACTCTCAGCTCAAAAGCCAATTTCTCAGAGACTTTCCCTAAATATCCAAACCAAAAGACCGTCTTCTTCCCCTGCTCTACTATTAATCAAGTTATTTTCCTTCACAGTAACCTATCATTTGAAATTATGTGGCCTATTCACTCATTCATTATATATAAGCTTCCATGATGGAAGAAAGTATCTCTTGTTTAGAGCTATATTTCAGCATTAGATCAAGGGGCTGAGCTGGGAGTGGTGACACACGCCTTTAATCCCAGTGCTTGGGAGGTAGAGGCGGGAGGATCTCTGTGAGTTCAAGGCTAGCCTGATCTGCATAGTGACTTCCAGGCCAGCTGGGGCTAAAGGGGACCCTGTCTCAAAAAGACAAAAAAGATGGGGCCGGAGTGGAGAGATGGCTCAGTGGTTAAAAACACTGGTTGTTCTTGCAGAAGACCCGGGTTCGAGTCCCAGCACCCACATGGCAGCTAACAACTGTCTGTAATTCCAGTTCCAGGGGATCCAGCAGCCTCTTCTGACCTCTGAGGGCATTGCACAACACAGATCTACTTACCTACATGCAGGCAATACACACATACTCACAAAATAAAAATAATAAATTTTTTTAAACAGACAAAAAAGAACAAGGGGCTGGTTCATGATAGATTCTCATTAAATATGC